TTGTTTTTTTTTTTTGCCATTTCAATACTCAGATTTCACATTCTTGGAAAGCCACAGACAATCTCTACTCTGACAATTACAGCGTAGTATATTTTTTATATTTTAATTTTTAAATAAATCAAAAGCAGAAAAAAATATCTCTGCTTCTCTTGGGCATAGAAGAGCTCCCCTAGCTAGGTAGACATCAGGCTGCTGCAGCTGGTTCAGCAATACTGCACTGGGCTACCAAGCATCCCTTAGCCCAAACACAGGCTGCAGTGCTGAATTTGGCTTCATCTGAATCCCTTCTCAGCTCACTCCCTGTACCCAGCCCTTATGTCAGGAAGCAGAGAGCAGCAGCAGGCCTAACTTTACAACCTCACCAGTTGTTAGGAATAACTGGAGAAATTTGGGAGGCGGGAGCAATGCATCCCCTCCCTTGTCACTCCACACATGCTGTTGGTCCCCAAACTCAACTGCCCTCCTCCCTCAATCTGAGGGGCACACTGGTGACTCATGTTCAACTTGATGAGGACCCCCATGTCCCTTTCCATGGTGCTGCTTTCCAGCATCCCATTCCCCAATCTGCCCATACATTCTGCCCCATCCCAGGTGCAGATCCAGGACTGTCTTGTTGAACTTCATAGTGTTGGTGATTGCCCAGCCCCCTGATTTGTTGGATGTCTCTCTGCAGGGCCTTCCAGCCTTGGAGGGAGGCAACAGCTCCTTCCAGTTTTGTATTGTCTGTAAACCTGCTCAGTATCCCTTCCAGTCCTGCATCCAAGCCCTTTATGAAGATGTGTGAGAGCACAAGGCCTGTGATAGAGCCCTGCAGAGCCCCACAAGTGACAGGTCACCAGTCTGATGTCTGTGTTCACTGTAATGCCTGACCTATGAGCCAGTTCCTCACCCATGTGTTTATCCAGCTGTGTGCTGGACATTTTGTCCAGAAGGATACTGTGAGAAACAGTATTGAAATCTTTACTGAAATTCAAGTCCTTGATCACCTGGGTGGGTTACCTTGCTATGAAAGGAAATCAGGTTTGATAAGCAGGACTTTCCTCTCACAAAGCTGTGCTGGCTGTGACCAGTAACTGTACACCTGACTTCTCTCAAATCAGCCCACAGAGAAACTCGGAGGTCTGGACTTGTGCCAGTGTAATGATTGGTACACAAGACCAAGGTGGTTTAGAATGCTACACTTTCCTGCATCATTTCCTTGTCTTCCTTGCAGATGCTCAAGAGTCACATCAGGTGTACATGCAGAAAGCTGAATTGCTACTTTCTGAATGTGGCTTTGTGTCTGAAGCCATTTCCACCCAATTGCTTACCAGCCCCAGATTAGAAGTCTACTCTGCTTTTCTCTTACTTTCCACTTTCTTCAGATCCTCCAAATTTCCATTGAGTCTCTCAGAATTTCCGTGACATTTTTGACCTTTTTCAGGTCCTCAATCTCTGTTCCACTTTTGGGGAAAATTATACTGCAAAAAGTCCCTTCTGCACCAGCCGTCTCGCCTGCACCATCTTGTCCTTCCCATTATTCTCAACATGCCCTTTCTAAAATGTGAGCTACTAGGTCTGGTCCCATATGCGAAACATGTGGTATTGCACATGTTGGAACATCTGATGACAAAGGAACTTCCAAAATAAGGACATTTGTCCTAGCTTGTTGGCTTCTGGAAGGTTTTTAAGCTGCTACTAACCACGGACTTCCTCTTGGCTGAAGCCTGTGAGTGACAACATGTGCAAGCAGAGAGCTCATTAACAGTCAGGATGTTTGAGGGCGGTGCTCCGTGTGCAAAGCATGTTTAATTTTATCAGCAAATCAAGCTATTTTTACTCACAAAGTACTCTGTGAAAATGACAAGAGCATGGGAGAGCTGAAAGATTGCAAGATATAGAGGCAACTATTTCTATTTTGAAGCCTCTGCTGAGAAGATAAAAATTATTGAGGCTGAAATGCTGCATTCCAGCATTTACTGTCTCTCTTGACAGTAGAAGCACCGTGGGAGACAGAAGAGCAAAAATTAAGTTAGAGAGATAATACACAGGAAGCCAATGTTATGTTATATTAAAAACAGCCAGTACTTACAGTGACAAGCTAGGAAACTAGAAAGGAAATACTGCAATACTAAAGTATGCAGAACATGTTATGCCTATATTCTTTCCCCCACTCTTTACAAAATAATATTAAGCATAGAATTATCACCAAAAAATGGCAGAAGCTAGATGTCAAATGGGCAGATAGCTTCACAGATCAGTGAAGAACCTGGCTGTCTCCCTTGGGTGCAGAACTCTCCTGATCTTAGAAGGAGATGCAGATCATTTGTATATTTAAATGGTGTCTTCGTGGTTTATAGAAAAAGCCTAAATAGTGAAAAATCATCTCTCTTGTCTGTGCTGAAGAGACAATGCAGTATGGAACTGAAAATCGAGAGAAGAGAAAGCTGACCTCTTCCCACTCTATGCAGAGCAGCAGTCCACTCTCTAATGCTCAAATTAGGTACTTCTTGAGAAGCAGGCACTTTCTTCAGGAAGCTGGAGCTCAACGATTGATTATAAGTCTAGCTCAGACACCTGCTGGGTGACAAAATAAATACTGGCTTTGCTGGAATCTCCCTGTGCCACAAACAGCTGTAACCCAAAACAACTGAAGTAAACACAGCCTAATCGTCTTGCAGCAGAGGAACCGTTGTGAAGGTGCAGAAGAAAACATTTACTATCATTCTTTTTTGATCTGATAATCTTTTAACAAGTGTGGTTTTATCTTTACTAAAATATGTAACTTGTGATAAAGCTATTTGCATCTTTCATTTTTTCTAGAACAATTGCCACAGAAGTTTGTAGCTCCACTCTCTGAAAAAAAAAAATCAGCGTAAGATGTACATAGTTTTATTTCTATGGTTTTGCATTGTTCTGATGGGTTGTCTTACTCTGTGAGATGTTTAATTCTTTACAAGATAGCTTCACTTCAGTTAGGCAGGTTTAAGACCTTGATTTTAGTTCTTAGGCCTAAGTATGTGTCACAGAAACCCACACAATCTTTAAACTAAAATTAGTTTAAAGTAACATGTCCTGCAGCATGGCTCATTGGCCATCACTGGTGCTCATGCTACTGCCAACCCAGTATTTTGTCTTACAAAGGGGAAATCCCAGCATCTCAGAGTCATCCATTCTCATTGGCACTTCTCAGGATCCCATCTTGGTAAATCTATCTAAATTACTATTTTTCATGATGCCACACAAGTCAGCTATACTGAAGATTCTCAGTTTTTATTCTGTCGTCCTCCTTTAGTTGTTTGAGAGTCTGGATGAAATCCTGGTATTATTGAGTCAGAGGTGAAACTTACACTGCTAATTGTGGGATACTGGTGTATCTTGGTGTTTAAAGACATAAGCAGTGAAATGTATGTCGAGGCAGAATTTCCTTTACAATGCTATAATTTCGACATTCTGCTAAGGAGCTCACAAATCTTGTTTGGCACCATCTACTCACTCAGCACGCTATAAAGGGCAGGAAGCCCAGTCTTTAACACTTATTAACATGGGGTAAGTAAAGCATTAGCAGGCAGACAACTGACTCACCACCTGGACAGAAGAGAAGCATGCTTTTCCTCTCTCACCTTGATTTGTGATGCTTGTGCTTTGCCCGAGAAATTCAAAAATAGATTATTATTTAATAACTGGACATTCAAACTGTGTCCAGCACCTTCAGGCTGTGTATCTGTATATCTGTATGGATGGAGCATTTTTAGAACCCATGAAACTAACGGGTTGTTTCTGTTCTCTGTTGCATGTGGTGTCACATGTCTAAACACAGGTGCTTATATACCACAAAGACTCTTCTGGGAGTCAAAGCATTATACACCAAGGGCAAGAATTGTGTTATCCTCTCTGAATTTCACCCTGCACACCATACTTACATATTCATAGTGTTTTACAGAGGATGCTACCTATTGCCTAATGGTCAGGACTGTCTGCAGCTCCCACTACACCATCAGCAGGACAGGGACCTCACTTTCCTGACAGCTGGATGCTTGGACCAGGAACATGGGATCATGGTCCATCTCCTTAGGTGAGCATCTTCCAAGGTCAGGGGATGGGCTGGGGATTCTGAGATGATATATTTTAATTTAAACACCTGAAAACATCTTGTTGACTTTCCATCTCCTAGGAGATTTCAAATAATCTTAGATGTCAAAAAACCTAGAAGTCTATGTTGGAACTGGTAACTTTATGCTCCGACCGTAGTTAATAAAGAGGACTATCAGGAAGACATCCACAATAGGTTGAATGCCCCTCTGTGGGGTCTCATTTCTTCCTTCCAGCTGCAAAGGGTGACCTGCTCAGACAGCTATGGAACTTATAGGTGTAAAAACTGGAGCAATGAGTCATGATCGAGATGTCCGCATCCCATCAGCACACACACGTAGACAAAAGTGTGGCTGAGAAACCCCGCAGCTCTCTACGGCGCAGAACTGCAGTATTTCTGAAACTCACTGCAGATTTTAATAGCTGTCGTCTACCCTAAAAATACATTTGCACCTCTTCTCCTTACTGTAGCGTCTTGCTCGTTCTTTCTCCGGAGCTCTGGTGAATAGCAGGACCCACCACTCCTCCTCGGGACACCCTCGGCCGCTCGGTACCTGTCCTGGCTAGCACACCTCCTTTTCGGTGCGCCCCTTCCCGGGCGGGGTGTCCCGCCGTGCCGAGCCCGCCCCTCCGGCCCTGCCCGGGGGAGGGAGGGAAGGAGGGAGGGAGGCCGGGCGAGGGGCGGCCCGGAGCCGGGCGCAGCGGCACCGGGAGCAGCAGCAGCAGCAGCGGCGGCGGCAGCCCGCGCCTCGCCGGCGGCAGTGGCTCCTCAGGCGCAGCGGGGGCAGGTGCGGGCGCTTCCGCGTCGCGCTGCGAGGAGGAGCAGGACGCGAGGGAGGAGGCGGCGGAGAGCGCGGCCAGCGGCCCGGAGTGCCCGTGGGCGTGATCCCCGGCGGGGAGCACCGCCCGCCGCCCACATCCCCGCCGCCGCCGCCGCCGCCGCTAACTTTGCTTCTCCGCAAAGAGCCGCCCTCCGGCACACAGAGGGTCGGCGGAGCCGGGGTCCGAGCCGGCCCCAGCGATGAAGAGCCGGCGACGGTGGCGAGGCGAACATCGCCGCTTCGCCGCGGTGCTGGTGCTGTACACGCTGCTGCTGCTCCTGTTGGTGCCCTACGCGCTGGACTACGGGGCCAGGCGCGGGCGAACGGACGAGGAGCCGCTGCTGCGGCGCTGCCCGAGCCTGGAGGAGGCGCTCAGTGAGTGGGGCTGGGAGCAGCGGCCGCCGCTGGACGAGGAAGAGGAGGACGATGAGGCGGGCACGGCCGGGGCGGCGGGTAACGGCAGCGCGGGGACGGTGGGGAAGCGGCACATCTACCTGCACGCTACCTGGCGAACGGGCTCCTCTTTCCTCGGGGAGCTCTTCAACCAGCACCCCGACGTCTTCTACCTGTACGAGCCCATGTGGCACCTTTGGCAGGCGCTCTACCCGGGGGACGCGCTGAGCCTGCAGGGAGCCCTCCGCGACATGCTGCGCGCCCTCTTCCGATGCGACTTCTCCGTCCTGCGCCTCTACACCGCCCCGTCCGGCCCCCGCGACCCGCTGGCCCCCGCCCCGCCCGCCGCCGATAACCTCACTACGGCCAGCATCTTCGGCTGGAGGACCAACAAGGTGATCTGCTCGCCGCCGCTCTGCCCCGCCGCCCCGCGGCCCCGCGGGGAGATCGGCCTCGTCGACGGCGCCACCTGCGAGGAGACGTGTCCGCCGCGGGCGCTGCGGGAGCTGGAGGCCGAGTGCCGCAAGTACCCGGTGGTGGTCATCAAGGACGTGCGGCTGCTGGAGCTGGGCGCGCTGCTGCCGCTGCTGCGGGAGCCCGGCCTCAACCTGCGGGTGGTGCAGCTCTTCCGCGACCCCCGCGCCGTCCACAACTCCCGCCTGAAGGCGCGGCAGGCGCTGCTGCGGGAGAGCGTCCAGGTGCTGCGCAGCCGCCACCGCGCCGAGCCGCGGGGCCCGGCCCGCCACCAGCAGCAGCATCTCCTGCTGCCGCCCGGGCTGCTGGGCGGAGGGCGGCCGCCGCAGCCGCAGCACCGCGCCGAGTTCTTCCTCGGCGGCGCGCTGGAGGTGATCTGCCAGTCGTGGCTCCGCGATCTCCTGCTGGCCCGGCGCGCCCCGGACTGGCTCCGCCGCCGCTACACGCAGCTCCGCTACGAGGACCTGGTGCGGGAGCCCCGCGCCGAGCTGCGCCGCCTGCTGCGCTTCGCCGGGCTGACCGTGCCGCCGGCCCTGGAGGACTTCGTGGTCAACATGACCCGCGGCGCCGCCTACTCCTCCGACCGGCCCTTCCTCATCTCCGCCCGCGACGCGCGGGAGGCCGTGCACGCCTGGCGGGAGCGCCTCAGCCGCCAGCAGGTGCGGCAGGTGGAGGCGGCGTGCGGAGAGGCCATGAGCATCCTCGCCTACCCCCTCAGCGCCGGCGATGCCCGGTAGCGCCCGAGCCGCACGCCCCGGACGGGCCCGAGGGCGGACGGACGGACGGACGGACGGGCGCCGTCGGGCGGAGCTGAGCGCGGGGGTCTCCGCTGGCATGGTAGGCAGGGAGCTCCCTGGGGGCAGCCCCGGCTGAGGGACCCCTGCCTCGCCTTGGGTACGGGCAGCGCTGCAGGGTGCGGGCCCCCCGTGCCGCTGTGGCTTTGTTTTCCTTCTGGAGAGGGCGGGGGATGTTACATTTACGAGAAGGGTTTGGTAAGGGGTGTCCTCCGAGTACGGCATCACTCTTGGAGCCTTTTAGCTTGAAATTGTGATCGTGTACAAAGAACAGGTATGCTACAAACAAACTGCATGAAAATTTAAAAATCCCCCAGTTGAAGACTCTCAGCAAGGAACTAGAGGGCCTGGAAGGTGCTCCTGTGGGAGCATTGCCCTTCTGGATCACAATGACCTCTGTCCTACTGCTACTGAAATACAAGAGGCTTCTGTGAAGTCGCTGCAGGGGTCAGGGGGGCCTGGCAGCAGGAGGAGGGTGCCTGCCGCAGGGTAGGACTCAGCTCTCCTGCCCCAAACCTGCTCGGCAGGGATGGGCTCTGCCCCTGCTCAGTGCTGGTGCTGTAGGGAGGGGCTGAGGGAAGGGGAGCCGTGGCCAGCTCTGTCCCTCGTTCTGAGCAGCAGGGTAAGCGGTGCAGGGAGGGTGAGCACTCACCTGCTTATGTGTTTTGAGGATGTCTGTGGCAGGAATCTTTGCTTTTCTAAAGAAATCTGTAATTGTTTTGAAAGTAGGATTTTTAAAAATATACATACATTGATATAGTTTGGTGATACTCGTGTGAGATACAGGTGACTGACATGTTTCTTTGGAACACGTGTAGGGGTGAATGAAACTGGAAGGCAAATGCTCGACAAATATTTCCGTTTTGTTTTCTCTCTCAGATGAGAGAATCACTTTTCTTCCCTTGCTTCCGGGCTGACACATTGTGCCGTGCACAGGGTCCTCCTGATCACATCCTTCCAAACAATAACATCCTCTCAGCTGGCAACTCCTGGGCAAAAACAAGTGTTTCCTAAGAGGCTAAGACCAATGAATCATGAAGTTCCCTAATAAAATCTTCCATTAAAAAAGCAAACAAACAAAAAACCCCTGAAGTTTTATTTTGGATTTTAAAATGACATGTTCCTGCAGATATCCTACAACTTCTGTAAGAAGAGGGTGTGCGTGTATCTGCAATTACCTTTGTTTATTAATTTCTTGATGTAGGAATAAAAGGTTCAGTTGTAATTTAGGGATGCAGTTTCATAATTTCATAGAGACTGCTTTTGAATCTGTTACAGTCTGGTAGTCTTTAAATGGCTCCATGAGAGTGTACAGGATTATAGGGATGTTTACATGCAGTCCTCAACTACAAACCCAGAATATGAGTTTCAAATTGAGGATAATCCAGGATCAGGAAGAAAGCGGTGTTTAGATAAAGTGCTGAAAATAAAGGCAGTTCAAAGATGTTATTTTATCATGGAGGAGGTGTTTGAATTGCACTGTACATTTTTGTGCTCTGAGTGTTATGCTGTACAGCATGTCACTAAGTTAGGATGAACCTTCATTTATTTTGGCTCTTTTTCCCCTTGATCTTCCCATCTGAGAGTATGTTGGCATAAGAAGCAGGTTTCTTTCATTATCTGACAGGAAAATGTAGTCATAACAATATTTTTGAACAAATTTATCCATTTCCCTGTAGCATACTTCAGTTTTGCAAACTTGGGCTTCTGCTTGAAGTAAGAATTACAGGGTCTTGTTTCGTGCTGGAAAAACTTCTGTATTATCTAAGGAATGTTTCTGCATTCTCTCACTGTGCCTGTGACACCAGAATTTGTCTCTGAGTGTTCCAGTGGCATTTAATAATGATATTTGTATAGCTAGTACCTGTACAATGCCTTGATAACCTGTGTCAGGTAAACTATTTTGGAAGGCACTTCTGGGACTATACCCAGCCTGGCTTGTACTGGTTTGGAAAGAAACTAAGATTTTTGTGCATACCAAAAGATGATATGGTACTTATTTTCTTAAATTGGATGGGAGATTAAAATCCAGTATATCCTGCTGATTTGTTCTTAGCAAGTTGCAGTCACAGAATTGTGTGATGAAACACTTAAGCATTCTTCTCACCTTGACAGAGAATCTCATCATGCTCTTTTAGGTGGTAGGTATCTTTTTTAAGTCTTTCAAAATTCACACTTAATTTCACTTAAAATGGTTCATCATGATAAGCAAAGAAGTGTTATCATCTAGCTCAACTTGATTCTTATAGCTGGGAGGAAATCCACTTCCTGGAAATTATTTGGTATTTTCTGAAACTGTTTCCATGTTTGAGCTGCAGAGGTTGTGAAGGGCCTTGAGGGGAAGCCATGTGAGGAACATCTGAGGTCACTGGGTCTGTTCAGCCTGGAGGAGACTGAGAGGAGACCTCACTGCAGTCACAGATGCCTCATGAGGGGCAGTGGAGGGGCAGGCACTGATCTCTTCTCTCTGGTGACCGGTGACAGGACACAGGGAATGGCATGAAAGTGTGTTAGGGGAGGTTTAGGTTGGGTATTTTCTTCACCCAGAGGGTGTTTGGGCACTGGAACAGCTCCCCAGGGAAGTGGTGACAGCACCAACCCTGACAGAGCTCAGTAAATTTTTGGACAGTGCTCCAAGCACGTTATGTGACTGTTGGGGCTGTCCTTTGCAGGGCTTGGAGTGGAACTTTCTGATCCTTGTGGGTCTCTTCCAACTCAGGATATTCTGTGATGGATGCATTTTCTGTATCAATAATTATTTCTGTCAGCACAAGTTGTTCACTAGCCTGGTTGCTCTCCGTGAGTGATTATTTTAATTTTTAAATTTTTGTATAATGTGAAAAAGGCTCCACTGGGCAAAGTGTACAAAATCTAGCAAGTGCAATTTTTGGTTTGTATTCTGTGCACATGAATTCATCAGAAAACTCATCTAAAAAATCCATAGGGAATATCTAAAGCTGAGAAAGGAGCAAGCAGGCCAGAGAGACATCAGAGCAGTGTGTGGATGACAGTTTCTTGGTGACTGGTGGTGTGACATGTGTGTTTCAGTCACTGGAAGGTTTTCTAAAATCCCTCTGCCCAAGGAGGACAGCTAAGGCTCACCAACAAATGCATCCCATTTTTCTCTTCATGGTGTTTTGGTGGCATTGGACAGCATCATTCAGGGTGCTTACAGCATGTACTTGTTCTTGAAACTCAGGCCTTGAAGAAAAAGCAAATGTACTGTCAAGTGTCAGTGTTGGTATTTATCTGAAAAGGCAGAAACAGGCCTGATTAGGACAACCAGCAGGGAGTTTCAGTGGCAGAGATCTTTGGAACCAACCAGAACTTGCTGAAAGCAGGACACCCATAGACTGCATTTTGAGAGCAGCTGGACATTTATGGCTTGGGCAGTTTGAGGTGAAGTCACAGTTCTACTGGATGGTGTAGAAAATTGTACTGCTTATTTGGAGCAGAACATGGCATGATAAGCAAGAGAACAGTAAACACATTTTTATATCCAACCTGAACTTGGAAGGCTTAGAATCACAGTGCAGGACTCAGCCATAAAGTTTTAGTATTTCAGACTGAGATTGGTGAAAATTACCTACTTGTACTACATCACATACAATGAATTAACAACTAATTTATTAAAAAGTCATAGTGGGAAATGGGTGCAGAACTGACAAATGCTCACAAGACAACTCTGTTGTCTGTTTTTACTTAACTTCTGGTTGTCACACATCCAAGTTAAGGGAGGTAGAAACTTGAGTATTGTAATTATTCATAAAAGGCTGGGATACTTCCATGCCATAATTGCTTGTGGGAAATGATGAAAATCCAGGGCCAAGAAATACTTGGGCCCTGCCTTATTTCTACCTCTTAGGATATGGAGTCCTTGTAGATAGCCACAGTATGTACTTGCATACTGCAGGTACAATAGAAATAGTTTGGCATCAGTTGCAGTATCTAACAAAAGTGGAGTTACGTATTTAACAACTTCAGTATTGCATGAGTCATTTTAGCCCCCTCCTCCCCCATCAGTCTGGGCATCAAGAAAAGTCCTGAGTTTCTGCATTAAGTTCTCAGTATCACCATTTTCAATAAAGCTCAGTGATAACAGTGCTGCAGAGTTTTGGGTTTGTTATGGTAACGCAATTAAAGCACTGAATTAAACCCCGAGAGCCAACAAGCCCAACAGCATGTTCTGTTCCTTTCTTCAGCACAGAGAGCTGTCACTGAGACTCTCTGATGGTGCCTGTCATTTTTGAGAGTCACCATGCAATCCACACAGCACTGGGACTACCTGAGATGTTTTGTCTTTCCTAATGTGACACCTAATGTGACACCTACCACCATGGAGGATGACATGGGAGAAATAGGATTTGTCAGGCCTTGCACTAGCAGTTTTCAACACCCCTCTGGCTGTGTGTGTGTGTGTGTATGAGGGGCCAGGTCCAGACTGTCCCCTTGGCTGTGTTTCAAAGAGATGGAAGCATTGAGGCGATGGATTTCAATGATTGAGGGGCCTTTGTTTGTTTGTTGATCTGGCAGCCTCAGCTCTTAACAACAGGCTGCAAGCTGATGAATGTTACAGCACTTGCAGTCTGGGTATTGAGTACTGTGAAATTCTTGCTTCCAGCACTGAGATGTTCAGCTCTGCTGCTAACCTGGGGCACCTGCAGTGCCATTTCTTGTTGCTGTTAAGTGGGAAGCCAGCCCTTCTCTGGAGCTTCCAAACTTGTTGCCCTGAAGGTCTAACTTTGCCAAACTTCAACTGTATATAGACTGAAGCTTTTTGTCATGGGCATAAGGTTTAAGTCTTTTGGAATTTCAGTCAAAGCAGTTGCATATTCTTTTTAACTTAGGATGTGGTGGTCTTTTGCCTGTGTTGAAATATTCTCAAAGATATTTCTTTGAAATCATTTGTCACTTCAGTGTTTTGGGACAGGAACTCCAGTTTGGGTAGGGGAAATGACCTCTTTGTAGAGGATGTCCCCTGTGTTTTTATTTTTACCTCTGCTTTCTATTCTGATTTGGCCAAATATATTAATGTTTG